ATATATATATATATATATAATGCTCTCTGCATGCAAGTTTAAGCTAGTTTTTGAGGTATCATCTACGAAATTAAAATTCTTTACAGCTGTTTACAGTAAACAAATTCTCCGATACATTGCACACTGCAAAGACAAGTTCAGCAAGCAGTAGGCTTATATTAAGTTGAGGTTATAGGTGGCGTGACGTAGATTCATGGATTTAACCTCGCGGAAAAAGTCAGTCCTGCGTCTTTTTAACCAGTCAAAAAGATTCCATAGGCAACGTGCAATGGATGAAAAAAAAATACACGATGGAACAAAATGTCAACGATGAGCGATGAAATGGGTAAAATAACTAATATGTTATCGTCGTACGAAATCAACCAATCAAATGACAGGAATCTGTCTAGGTGTGTTATAAAAGTTACTATTTGACTGGGAATGACGTAAATGTATAGCATTGGTATAGTCACTTGGTGACTGGTTCCACTTACTGTAAATCTTTATTATCATAAGAATATGAATCAAATGTTGCAAATACAAAATAATGTTATCTCTTACATATTTGTTTTAATATTGTCAATTTTAGTACACTTTCTAGAATAAAAAATGCAATTCAAATTGCAACTTACATTACCGTTTATAAATTACATTTAATTTTATGTTAAGTAACATAATCGTACAGATAGTAGTTATGTACAGTAACAGTGGAACCCTTCCTTTGGAACACTCCCATTAAGGGAGACTTCATTCCGGTGACCCCGCTTTTAAGGAGACACAAAAGTTATCCCCTATTATAGGGGTTCTACTACGTTTAACTTTAGTTAAACCATTGTTTATATTACTAATACTTCCAATTTATATATATATTTTTTTTGTAGTTACTATTGCCGGAGCCGATTTTAAAGGATTTATGCTTCAAGTAGATGGATTTTCTGATAGCGCTTATGGGGAGTTTGTTTCGATTCCTGGGGGAACTAAGCTTCTTAACTGTGGTACTCGCTCGTCAAATGCTGTGACTCACAGTAATTCTAATACCAAGACTAGTGTCACTCTTAAGTGGCAGGCCCCATTGGAAAACCTAGAAGGACATGCTTTAAGCGCTGTGTAAGTTATTAAAGACACGTTAATTTTATTCAAGTAGCTCTAATAAAAATGCAATTACACACCTCCACATCTAACATTAATACAGAGGCTTTAGTTGTTAGAACGGATAGGTTAGAGTAGAGTAGAACTGAATTTGTGGACCAATAACAAAACACTGCTTTGTAAGCAAAAAGTTGCGAGCTTGTCCAGTCTTTTATTCAGGTTCAATCATAGTAGGATAAATTGGTTGGCGCATAAACCACGTTTGTTTTAGAGCTCTGTTTTCTTAGTCGCGATGACTGTCAAGCAATTAAGTGTGGACCCCTGACCTGTACAGTCTCAACGCCCGCTCACACTAGGCTCGAGTCGTGCATAATATTGACGTATCGGTAGTAATGTATCATACTTTTCAGTTTGATTTTACAAAATCAAAAGTAAACCTAGAAAAAGCAAACTAGTAATCGACGTACATTATACAAACACAAAGAAAACTTATCTAGCCATATTCTTATTATTATTCTTTTTTAATCTTTTTATTTATTTATTTATTTTCTTTTTGTAGTGCAACAATTGTTCAACAGCGTTTGACGTTTTGGGTGAGACTACAATCTTCGCTGATTAGGGGTGGTAAGTATAGGCCTGTATTAGGAATGATAGATTCTTCAGCGCATCAATACGGTTGGTCATAATATAAATAAGTTATAATTGTAATGGTATAGGCTGTGTACTTGTAACAACAGAGATAGTTCGTTATTTTTTTAAAGCCAAAAAAAAAAAATGATTATATTGATGAAGCAAGATGGAATTAATTGAGAATAATATCCTGATATAGTATTATAAAAATGATAAAAATAAGTTCTTCTGTGCGCTTAACAAGCAAAAACAAGCAGTAAGTAATAATGAATGATAATAGGGATAACGATATAGATGATAACGATAACGTCAAAGATAATAATAGAATAACAATAATAATAATAATAATAATGATTAATATAATAATAATAATAATAATTAATATAATAATAAATATAATAATAAATGTAATAATAATAATAATGATAATAATGATGATGATGATGATGATGATGATGATGATGTTGAAGATGACGACGACGAAGACGGCAACAGCGGTGTCGGCGGTGACGACGACAAGATGATATTGATATTAATAATAATGATGATGATAATGGTGTTAATGACGATGATGACGACGACGATAATCATTATTTTTCACTTAGTTTTTACTATTATCTTTCTGGATTTTTTTCCATTCCAGTTCCAGTGCCTGTTTGCTCCCTCAATTGTCAAAATTCGGGAAGTTGTATTTTTGACAGCTCTGGAAACGAAATTTGCGACTGTGTGCCTGGATTCGCTGGACCAACATGCAAACGAAGTAAGTTCTTTACTATCAGCCTGAAGATAATCTCATCGATCGGATAGGCTTAACAATTCGGTGAGGGGTGGGGGTGGGGGAAAAAACCCTCCTCAATCCTACCATATATAGTCAGAACTGATGTGAAAGGAAAAAAAAGACTGTGGCAACTCGAAAACAGCACTTTCGGCATACACACTTTTTTTTTTAATTTTTGTTGTAAAGACCAGTAGGTGCGAGGGGTTCTAGTACCTTGAGGATGTAACACCTGTTATTAACTCAGTCTATAATGGTAACCTGGGAAAAGTGTAAGTTCTTTTGGTACTCGGCCTTCCTTCACCTTTACTGCCAATCAGAGTAGCAGTATAATATCTCTTGTCATCTCTTGAAAATAATGTAGGTTTTGACCTGCCTGGAACTAATGACTTAATGTCAAATTAAGACACCTAAAAAAATATATATTTATAAGTCTGAGAATCATGCTATTTGAAGCTGTTGTACGCTTACGTTTATCACTCGCCCTCACATTATTTTTACACCTCGATTTTACAAAAAAAAAGAAAAAGGTTTTTCTTAAAGATATTCAAAGAAATATAACAAATTGATTAATAAACTTTTCTGTTAACGTAAATGCGTTTTCTAAAGCGTTTAATACCAGCTACTGCTATGTCAAGCACATAATTACCATGAAATGCATGAGCAATTTTCGCCTTAAAATTATAACATAATGCAAGGTAGACAAACGAAAAATGCACTGGCCTCCGTAGGTTGAACACTAAACAGGTCCTCCGCTCTATTAACTGAGCTATCGAGGTTAGTCGAGTTCCTTTGCGTAATGGCATAACTCTCAACATAATTGCAGTCATAGTTCAATTCTCACTGACTTGAAAGTTGGCATGTTTATTTTTTACGTCATATTTTTTTTTTCGAATGATTTTATTTTTGTTTTCCGTGTATATTTTAATGTATACACATTTTTATTGAATTTTTTCATTATGGCGAAGAGAAAAAGCATTGTGATCCGTTTTACAAACACACATAATAGGTCTAGTCATTACTGTTGTTCTTATCATTGTTATTGTTATTTATTTGTTTTTAATTTTACAGGTGTTGTGTATTGCCCATGCGAAATTCCCGTGTAACCTATGGGTACCCAGAGAACACATGGAAAATAATCATTAATGTAGTCTTTTTGGTGTTTTGCTAAATAAGTAAATAAGCGAT